TTTATGTTGGCCCCTTCCCGGGGCTCTTGGCCTGGGCACTAGTCCCGGAACCACAAATATCATTTCTCAGGACCTTGGCGTCGCAACACCTTAAACTCCCTTCTTCCCAAGTTTTCCCAGTGTTTCTCAGACTTGGGGAAGCGACTCTCCCCGCTCCGGAGCCTGGGGGTGGGGGCGGCCGATCCCCCGCACGGCCGCCAGAGGGCGCTGCTCCGTCGCCGGCAGCGCCGCGGCCGCCTGGGCGTGTGGCCTGGGGTGGGCATTTTTGTGTTGTTTAAATGCCAGCATTGATTGCTCACTCCTTTCCCAAACATGTTTCTAATTTACCCGGTATCTCGTCTACGTGAAAGACTCAAGAACAACAACCAAAGAATGCACACTTAACTTTGGTTACCGGGTGAGCAAAAGGGGTTTGACACCAAATGCAGTTTTGTTCCAGAAACCTCTGGGACTGGGGCAGAGCAGCCAGCAAGGGATCTCCAGAGGCTACTCACTGGTTAGGACAGAGGCACGTGGAAACAAACACACCGAACCTCGACCCTGGATAGGTTCTTGCTAGCACCCAACAAGCCGGCAGCTTTCCGCTCCAGAGGACGGGTTCGTTTCCGGCTAAGTTCAGGAGCTGGTGCCCGAAGAGGGTGCCGCGCGGGACCGCGGAGAAGCCACCCGCGGCCCTGGGCAGGCGGAGGGCTCCGGCTTCCCGCCTGGCCCTTGGTTGCGTGCGGCGTCCTGGGGAGCAGAGGCGCTCGGATGCGGATGAGGGGGAGCGACGGGGGGCGATCCGGGAGCTCGGGGCAGCAGTACCCGCACAGGGTGAAGGCGGGGAGGCAGGGGCAGGGGGACGAAGAGGGGAGCAGAGGGAGAGTCCTGTCTGATGGGGGTGGCGGGGACGGCCCCTCGGGCTTGGGTGAAAGCCTGACCGCCACAAATAGAAGTTATCAGCGAAGAGACCTAAGGATGCGTTTGGCTGCGGGGAGGTCTCTAGGAGACAAAGCTCCTAATCCCGGGGTGGGGGCTGGGATGGGAACCCGGGGCAGGGGGTGGGCTGTGGGGGGAGGAGTGTCTGATTGCCAGCTGGGTTCTGTTTTTCGGACCAGAAAAAAAAAGAAAATCCCCTGGCCCCTGGGGAGATTGCTCAGTCACTTTTCTCCTGCAGGAAGCTGCTTCTTGTTGGAGCCTCCTGGGACTGGCAGAGTTAAAATCCTTTAACCCAAGATGCCTTGGGCCTTTTGTTCAGCTCTGACAATGGAATTGGCTGGGAGAGGCTGGGAAGGCAAGGAGCTAGGTCTGGGGTGTATCCGTGGGGTGGGCGTCTGGTGAAGCTGTGTTCAGTCACAGGGTGAAAAAAAGCGATTTGGTCGCGTGTGTGTGTGTGGGGGGGTGTGCGTGTGTGTGTGCGCGTGCGTGTGCGCGCGCGCGTTGGGGGAAGGTGTAAGGAGGCCCAAGGCACGGGCACCAGCTCATTAACACGTGTGTATGAGTACCTGCTGTGCAGCTCAGCAAACCTTTAATTACCCAGGGAGAACTTCCAAAACTGAGAACTCAATATTGGTCCCTAAAAGGTTGGATAATGGGTTTTTCTTGCATCTCAATCCAAAGGGACAGATCTCCGACTCCCCTGGGCTCCCAGATTCTTCTAGATGTTTTGTCTTCTAAAATTCTGTGCTCCCATGGGACAGCACTTAGTTAAGGACACTCAGAAATGTAAACCCTTCTATCATGTTAATCATCTTTAAATCTTTGCCTTGAACCTATCACATCCTTGAGTCATAATCGTCAGCAGCAGCCACTCCAATTCAAAGGACTTGGAGTGACAGTCTGCAAGCCCTCTCGCCATGCAGAATTTTCTCCTCCCATTCCCCATGTGCATCTTCCCCTGTAGCCAGCCTGGCCCCTCAGGGTCCCTTGGTATATCTTGAATTCTCCAGCCTCCCTATCTCTGGCCCTGCAGTTGCCTTCCTGGCCATCTAGCTGGTCACTTCCTTCTCCATTCAGTTCTGGCCTCAGTCAGTCAACATGCATTCACTGAGAGCCCCCTATGTGCAAGGCATCTATCCCCTGGAATATATCAGAGACTGAGACAAATGCCTGCCCTTAAAAGATTTTTTTGCCTTAATGGGAGGGAATAAAGCCAGACAATTTCACATGTTAAGTAGCTAATCAATGTGATAGAGTTGTGGTGGGGTGGGGTTAGTGGGTGCTGCTTTATTTGGGTAGGAAAGGCCTCTTTGAGACCTTCTGGGCAGGAAGAATGCTCCAAGCAGAAGGGATAGCAAGTGCAAAAGCCCTGAGGCAGGAATGCACTCCGTTAAATTCAGGAGACACCATGAAGGCCATTGTCCCTGGAGCAATGTGAACAAGGAGATTTCAAGGGCTCTTGAGACATAGGCAAGGACTAGACCATCATGTCCTCACGGGTCAAAATAAGGAGTGTTTTATTTTGGTTGCAGTGGGAAACCTTTGGAGGATTTTATGCCAGGAGAGAAGAGATTCCACTTACCCTTTAGAAAGATCACTCTGGCTGCTTGGCAGAGCAAGGAGTAGGAGAGAGGAGGACAGTGAAGATGCGGTTGCAGATGTCCTGGCAAGAGGAGGTAAAGGCAGGGTTGCGGCTATGCAGATGGTCCTATGACAGAAGAGAAGAGTCAAGGATGACACCTCCATTTTTAGGATAACTGGGTGGACAGGATGCCCATGTTAATGGGGAAGGGTAGATCAGCCGTTCCGTTTTGGCCATACCAAGACCTATCAGACATCAGGTGGATATGTGTAGACAGGTTTGAGGCAGGAGTTCAGGGGCATCTGTCCTTCAGATTTAAATTTGAGATCTAGCATATATATGGTATTCAAAGCCATGGGCCGTGGGACAGTTCCACTTAGGGAAAAAGTAAAGCTAGAAGAGAGAGGGATGAGACTGAAGCCGCTCTAATATTTAGAGGTCTGGTAGAGGAAAAGTGAGCAGGCGAGGCTGAGACAAACAACCTGTGAAGTTGGAAGAAAACCAAAAGATGGTGATTCTAAGGAAACTAAGCAAAGGAAGTATTTCAGGAAGGAGGATGCATCAATAAGCTATTGCTAGGTAAAAAAACAACCATAAAAATCTCAATGGCATGTAACAGTAAATATTTATTTTACTCACGCATCTGGGAGTCGACTGGAGGTCAGCTGGGTGAGGCTGACCTTGGCTGGGTCTGAGTCTTCTCTAGATACATGTCCCTCATCATCCTTGCACGGGTAGGCCAGTTAGGGCAGGTTATCCCCTGGTGATAACACTGGCACAAATAGGCAGGTGGAAATGCCTCCTAAGGCCTAGGCTTAGAACTGTACCGTGTCACTCCTCCTACATTCCAATGGCCAAAATGAGTCACGTAGCCATGTCCAAAGTCAAGAAGCAAGAACATATACTCCACCTCTAGTGCAAAGAGGGACTGCAAACTCACATAGGATAAGAACACAGGGAGGAGTGACAAGAATTAGGACCAATAATTCAATCTACCACGGAGTGGTCCAACATGTTCGATGCCACTGGGAGACCAGATGAAATAGGGCCTGTAAACTGGCCACTAATCTAGTCGAGATGTCAGTCACTGGCATCCTCCTGAGAGAGATTACAAGGGAATGGTAAGGACAAAAGCCTAGCTGGAGTGGGTGGAGGTGAGACGAAGGTGAGGTGGGGAAGTGTGAGTATACAGACAACTCTCCCAGGACCATCTGCCCAGCAGAGGGGCAGAAAAATGGTGCAGGAGGAAACGGGCTAAGGCTAATATGTTTTTAGATTGAGGGATATTAAGTCCTGTTTGACTTCAGTGGGAAGGATAGAGTAAAGAGCCAGAAATTGATGGTGCCTGAAAGGAAGGGAATACTTGCGCTGGTGAAAGGGGAAGGGGCCCAGGGCACAGATGGAGGGATTGGCCACAGCTGGGTGGAGGGAATGCCAAGCTGCAGGCATTCTGGTGGCTTTGGTGGGAGGAAGAGCAGGCAGTTGGTCTGTTTATACCTATTTTCTCTATGAAGGATAGTCCCAGGCCAGGCTGAGAGTGAAAGAGGAAGTGGCGTTGAAAATATGAGGAAGAGGAAAAAGTGTGAAATTGTTGCATGGTGGAGAGAGAAAAGGACTTTTCTAAGAAACAGTAGTGGGATTGTCCAGCAGTTCAAATGCCCATTGGAAATTTATGGTCATAAATTTGATGTGAGTCCATCCACAGTAGCTGGGTAATTTTCTTTCTTTTTTTTTTTTTTAATAAATTTACTTATTTATTTATGGCTGCGTTGGGTCTTCGTCGCTGCGCACAGGCCCTCTCCAGCTGCGGCGAGCGGGGGTCACTCCTCACTGCGGCACGCAGGCTTTTCATTGTGGTGACCTCTCCTGTTGCAGAGCATGGGCTCCAGACACGTGGGCTTCAGTAGTTGTGGCACGCAGGCTCCAGTAGTTGTGGTTCGCGGATTCCAGAGCGCAGGCTCAGCAGTCGTGGCCCACAGGCCCAGCTGCTCGGCAGCATGTGGGATCCTCCGGCTCTAGGGCTCGAACCCATATCCCCTGCATTGGCAGGCGGATTCTCAACCACTGCGCCACCAGGGAAGCCCTAGCTAGGTAATTTTCTTCAGCGGTGTTCAACTAGTCGGTTGTGGGTGTGAAGTAACCAGTTTGATTTAACCACAGCTGGGTTTTCACCAGGTGAATACGATGGAGAGAAACTGGTGTAAGGAGTTAAGAGTGTTTGCAAGGGAGATTTCCCATACCAGATCATGGAATCTCAGCTGGCTGATAAGTGAAGACCTGAGGGGAGACAAATAGTGAAAAAACAGTAGAGCGATGGACTGGAGGTCTCAGGTGGGAGAGCCAGTAGACTGGAAGGACCAGAGTGAGTAAGCTGGTGGGCTGGCAGGTAGTGGGATCTTTGAATCTGAGATTTTAGAGATGGTGTAGATATTCATGGTTCCCAGGTCTAGGGTATGACCAGGAGACCAGGATGGGGCAAGAGATGTATTGCTAGGGCTAAGGTAGTCAAGCGACTTAGGGGCTAGGGTGTTGGGCGAGTCATCAGAACTGATGCTGAGGTCACCAAGAATGATGACAGTGGAGGAGAAAGAGCCCAGTGCTGAAATCATCAAGGGACAGAGGAAGTAACCAGAAGGATAATAAGGTGACACTAATGAGAAGTGGTGGGTAGCAAGCTCTGTTGCCATGTATTCCATAGGAGCTGGGTTTTTGAAGGAAGAATAAGAATCAGATTGGAAGCTTCCATGGTGAGTGAGGAGACATCTCCAGGCCCTAAGCATGGCCTGAGGAGTAAAGAGCCTCTGTTGGAGAGGGCTGTGGAGCAGCAGTCTAGTCAGGGGTCAGACAGCCTTCAGGAGGAAGGAAGTGAGGGTCCCAGCCTTGGAGGGGATGGAGAGTAGAGGCTGGGGAGGGCGTGGGAAGGCAGGGAGGGCTGGGGATGGGGCCGAGGCCAGTGGCCCTGAGGCATGATAGGATGGCTCTCACTGGCCATTGGTGGCCCCCCGGGGAAGGTGTCGGGGCAGCCACAACTGGCCCCTTTGGGGAAGCTTCCCAGATTACCCTGGCCTGGAGGGGGACTTCCTTTTCCAGGAACCCCCATAACTTTGGTTGCTCATGTTTCTCCGTTAGGCCATATCATCTACTTCCTGCTGTCTTCATCGTTCTTCTTCCGTGTGGATTTCTTATTTCATCAATTAGAGGCAAGTTTGGGCAGAACCCCAGCTATGCCATTTTTGCACGCGCTCCAGGCCAGCACAGCACCTGATACATAACGGGCCTTCAGAAATGTTTGTTGCAGGAGTTGGATACAAATGCGGTAATGGTGTCCCTTTAAGGCCAAGAAAGGGGCCTGTCCCGGGGGTGGGGGGGAGGGTCCTTCTGCCCGAGGCCCCGCCCCCTCCCCGCCCCCACCCCACCCCCACCAGGGCCAGCTGCAGCGGCCGCCCCTCCCCCCTCCCGCAGCCGCAGCCGCTGATCCGAGTAACCGGACGCCTGGGCCCGCTCCCCCTCCCGACCCAGGGCTCGGCGGCCAATGGCAGTGGCCCGAGCCTCCTCCGGGAGCCGCGGGGGCCCTCCCGGCGCCACCCGGCCAGGCTGGGGCACCCGGAGCGAAGGCCTGCCCGGCTGCGAGCCCGGCCTCCAGCTCCCGCTCGCGGCCTGTGTTCTCCGTGCCCTGCGTGCTCTGCCGTACGCCCGGCCCAGCCCAGACACACCCGATCTCTGCCCCGACCCGAGCCGGGGAGGTCAAGGCTGTGAAAGGGGATTGGGCAATCGGCGCAGAGCCGGCACCCAAAGGGCCAAGCCGGGACCCATCCCCAGCCCGGGGAGTCTGGACACTCGGGTTCTTGGGCGTTTGACAGGCTGAGAGACCTTGGGCAGTGGTGGAATCTCTGAGCCTCAATTTCCTCATCTGTGGCTGAGGCTAGTCCCTGTCCACCTCTTAGTGGGGCGGTGTGAGGACCTATCCAGGCGAAGGGTGTGCAAGTCCTTCTGTATTAGCCAGAGGACAGGCCGAACCCAAATCATTGGGACCTGTCGCCACCGGCCCTGCAGCGGATGAAGACTGCAACCCCGCCTCCCCACCATCCGGGTCTCACCCACCATCCAGGGAATTCCTGGGTTCAAGGGAAGGGCCTGACACAACTTTCCTTAACACCCCAGTCTGGGAGTTTCCTGCAGCTCTTCACTCCCAAGGCAGAAGTTGGCTGGTGGAGTTTAGCAACCCCCAGGGAAGGGAGTGGGAAATAAATGCTGGGCTGGAAGGATGGAGCACAGGCACCTTTCCAACTACCTATTTTATCGCCTGTGCTTACTAGAGTGGAAGACGTATAAAGAGGAAGCTCTCACCAACAATGCCTTTTTCCTCCTCCAGTGATTACGACTACACACTCCTGCCTGTTACCTGCCACAGGCTACAAATACTCAAGTATTTATCTGTATACCTTTGCTCCTGGTACCTTAAAAAAAGCTAAGGAGAGCTCAGAAAATGCATTATAGTCTGAAAGCAAAGAAAGAGAGGAAGTCTTTGTCAAGGATGCATTATTTTAACATTCCCAGCTTTCCCACATCATGGCAGGGCGTGGGTCACCTATGGTGATGAGGACACAACAGGGGTGCCCTGAATCTTTGCTTCCATGTCCAGTTCCTGAACAGGCTCCCAAGTAGGTTCTGGAACCTGCAGCCTTAGCTCACACCATTTCCCGCACTGGGCTGGCAACCCTCGGGCACCTTGCCAGGGCACAGTGTCACGTGGCAAACTGCTCTCTCTTCCCTGGCACTTGGACTCCAGGGCCCTGCACCCCATCAGGCCCGCTGCCCCAGGCGAATCCAAAGGCAGAATGTGGTCAGGGAGTCTGAGAGGGGGGGTCCTTAAGTGGGGAGCAGTAGAGGCGCCCACCAGCCCAGGCCTGATGTTCTGCGGGCTTCTTGAATTCATTCGCTTCCAGACCTTTTCAGCCTTGCCAAGCCCTGTGTGAAAGATCAGAACAGCTGGAAATTTCTAGCAGGAGAGTGCCAGGTGCTGAACATGTCCCGGTCTGACTTAGAAACAGTTAGGGGCCGGGGCTGTTTGGGGTTGGCATTCTTGCCTTTGCCAGGCAGGCAGGAACTGCTCTCTCTTGGAAGGCACTGCCACCCCCGAGCCTGGGCTGGAGCTGCAATAAACCCAGGACACCAGGCTGGGGACGGAAACCAGGAGCCTCCAACCTCCCAAGCCCCAGGAGGACACAAAGGGCCTCCTCTCCGGGCGAAGCAGAAGGGGACGGGCTGACCAGGGAGGGCCGGACCGTCACCCAGTCAAAGCCAGGCGGCTGCAAATGAAACACAGGCCTAGAAGGCTCCAACAGGCACTCTGTCTTTCCCAGAGCCAAGAAATCCTGGCTAGAAACTTGACTATGGAGTAAGGCAAGGCACCGGGAAATACTTGAAACCAGGCGAGACCCCTGGTAATGTTGGACTCCGGACAAACAAGGGCTGAGCCAAGTGCTTTTCCCCCACCTGGCCCAGACACAAAAGCTGAGCTGGCCAGCGAAGACCCAGGGGAGGCGGCAGAGGAGCAGGGGAGGGACCCAGCAGGAAGAGGAAACCTGGCAGCAGGGTCATTTTTACCCTGCTCAGACAGCAGAGCTCTCGCACAGCAAGTCTGCAGAGGGGAGAGTTCCCACTTGGCTTCACACAAGGCCAAGGTCACCCAGGCCTTCTGGAGGCTCTCACGAGGGGCTCTGGAAACTACAACGCAACACGCGGCGACCAGGACCAGGCTGCAGGAGCCAGCTCCCGTTTGAAGGAGGGGAGTTGGTAGGGGCAGCTGCTGAGGAAGCCCAGCACCCCGCCCCCAGCCCCAGGCTGTGGCAGGACTGAGCTTCGCCCTCAGGACTAGCTCAATCCTTACATTGCAGGCTCAGCCTGCTTCATTTTATTTTATTTTGAAAATTTTATTTATTTATTGTTATTTTTAAGAACAGATTTATTTATTTGGCCGCACCGGGTCTTAGTTGCTGCACGCGGGATCTTCACTGCCCCATGCGGGATCTTTAGTTGTGGCATGCGGGCTCTTAGTTGCGGCATGCAGGATCTAGCTCCCCGACCAGAGATCGAACCCGGGCCCCCTGCATTGGGAGCACGGAGCCTTAACCACTGGAGCACCAGGGAAGTCCCAGCCTGCTTTATTTTAAATGCATCTACATAGTAGCACATGTTATGGGTAAACTTCATAAACCTACTAAGGAATGTTCTTTTATTCACATTTCTCGTAATATGTGAAGGGAGGGTTACTTTTTAGAAATTCCAAAATTAAAGAGAAAAAGAGAAATCATCCTGTGTTGAGGATGGACTCGGGGTCTCAATTTTCTTTATCCTTTGCTGGATCTTGAAAAAAAAAAAAAAAAAAAAAAAAAGAAGTGGTCCACAGTATGAAATCTTCTTGAAAAAAAAAAAAAAGCTAGAACATGCTCTATAAAAAGAAATTCAGACAAAAAGTATAAAGAAAAGAGCAAAAAATCACCTATTAATCCCACCCCCCAGTGATAGCCCTGATATCATTTTTGCGTATTTTTCCCAGACTATTTTCTATGCATGCTGATACATATTTTTATATGAGGTACAATTATTAATATCAGAGTGTCTTCTCCTTCTTCCTCCCCATGCCCACTGCAGAAAATCCTGAATATGCCTATTTGGTTTCCTCTCACTTCTCTCTTCCAGAGAGAGGAAGAATTATCACTTGCTGAGAAAAGCTAAATTGATCTACATAATAAAGGAATGCAGTGGGACAGACCGAGTTCCAGAGTAGGGAAAAGCCTTCTGGACTAGAGTTCAGTAGAGTGTTCAGATTGTAGCACATTCGAGGCTCTGGAGCAGCTACAGGGTGTAGAGAATTGGGCTTGGAGGATGGGGCTTCTGAGATGGGCTGATATGGTTATGACCTGGAGCCCTTTTAATGCTCTTCCAGAAATGTAATTAAATAATGGAATTTATTTTGTATTAATTTTGGCTATTAAGCTATGCATTAAGTCCATATAGAGACTGAAGCTTATGGTCTCCCCTCTCATTTACAAGGGTTATGTTTTTTAAATATGGGGACGCACTATATTTCCTTTTTTTTTTTTTTTTTTTCCGGCAGTACACGGGCCTCTCACTGTTGTGGCCTCTCCCATTGCAGAGCACAGGCTCCGGACGCGCAGGCTCAGTGGCCACGGCTCACGGGCCCAGCCGCTCCGTGGCATGTGGGATCTTCCCGGACCGGGGCACAAACCCGTGTCCCCTGCATCGGCAGGCGGACTCTCAACAACTGCGCCACCAGGGAAGCCCCCTATATGCTTTTTTTAAAAATTAAGTTTCGTAGTCCAGTCAATAAATGGAGATATTTGTTATCCTCTTAAACAGCTGTATGGCTGTCCTTCATTCATCTTCACCATAATTTATTTAACCCGTCCCCTGTTGATGATCATTTATGTTATTCCATGTTCACTGTTATCAACAATTACCCAGAGGCTATCCCTATGTGTATACATCTTGGCACTCTTGCTGAATTCTTCCTTAGGATGTATTCCTGAAAGTATAACTGCAGGGTCAAAAGAAAAGAACATTCAAATTTTAGTGCACGGTGCCAAGTTGCTCTCTGTAAAGACTGAACAAATTAAAACAACCACTTACAGGGACGGATTCTGCTCTTGAGTGTAGTGCTGTTGGCAAGGGAAGTCCCAGTGGGCCAAGCAGCCAGAGATGCTCTGGGAAAGAGCTGAGCTGTGGCACAGGGTAGGGCGACAAAGAAGGGTCTTCCAGGGAACATGGTAAGAAAGCCAGTGAAGGCTCTATGGAAATTACTTTTGCTACCCAGCATCCCTTCCCTGGGGGAATCACCTTCCCCTCCACAGTACCCCTTTCAGCCTATGAGCTGTGGGTGGCGCTGACCTCCCACCTTCTCCGAGACCCCCATCCTGGGCTGGCCGCAGAGGTGACCATGACTGGAGCCAGATCAGTCAGAAGTCTCCATACCCTGATGGGGGTGATGGGTCCAAGCCAGGAAGAAGTCTTTCTTGCTCACTGAGCATGATGCGACACCAGAACTGGCAGTGACCCTCTCCTCCCATCCCATGCAGATCTGAGAGATGGAGACAAAACCTTGACAGCCTTGCAGAGCCGCAGGACCTAGCCATGTTTGAAGGCATGAGGCCCATCCTGGGCTTTTTGTGTACCACCAAAAGTCCTTTCTCCCCCTCAAATTATCATGAGATTTTATTTTTTAAGCGTTGGCTTTTTTTTTTTTTTAATAAGGTACATTTCACATAATATCAACCATTAACCATTTTAAAATGTGCAGTTCAGTGGCGTTGAGTACATTCACAGTGTTGTGCAACAGTTGCCTCTATCCAGTTCCAAAGACATTTTCATCACCACGAAAGGAAACCCCATACCCATCGAGCAATCCCTTCCTATTCCCTCTTCCCCTTGGGAAGTTTCATATAAGTGGAATCATACAACATGCGATGCTCTGCATCTAGTTTCTTTCACTTAGCATGCTGTTTTCAAGGTTTACCCATATTGTAGAGTGTTTAAGTACTTCATTCCTTTTTAAGCCCGAATACTATTCCACTGTCAGGAATATACCACATTTTGTTTGTCCATTCTGATGGACATTTGAGCTGTTTCTACATTTTGGCTATCATGATTAATGGTGCTGTGAACATTCATGTGTTCCTATTTGTTTCAATGCCTGTTTTCAATTCTTTGGGGTATATACTTCGGGGTGGAATTGCTGGGTCACATTGTAATTCTATGCCCATACATTCTACATTCTTTTTCTAGTTTAAGCCCACGTGAAGTGGGTTTCTGTCCTGGGCAGCCAAAGGAGTCCTGACTTACTCAGGCCTTGAAAGACGAACCAGCCTGGCCGAAGTGGAGAGCGGGGAGGAAAGTGTTCACCCTGGAAAGAGTGGGCAAGCAGCAGCAGAAACACGGAAACAGAGCAGGGAGGAAGTACATTCTCCGGTGGGAGTGCCACATGAGAAAGTCTTTTCTGGACACGTAGCCGGGCCACACTGTCTGGAAGACCCACAGAGAAGAGGAATCTTAGAGCAGTTGCTTTGACAACCAAGTCTGTGAGAGGAAATACCCTCCTTCCTCTTTTTCTTCCTCCCCCCACCCCTTCCTGCCAAGGCCTGTGCAGGATGCACCAACGGGGAGTACTCTGGGTGGGAAAGAACACGTTTTCCTTTTTATTTTATTTATTTATTTTTTGCGGTACGCGGGGCTCTCACTGTTGTGGCCTCTCCCGTTGCGGGGCAGAGGCTCCGGATGCGCAGGCTCAGCGGCCATGGCTCACGGGCCCAGCCGCTCCGCAGCATGTGGGATCTTCCTGAACCGGGGCACGAACCTGTGTCCCCTGCATCGGCAGGCGGACTCTCAACCACTGCGCCACCAGGGAAGCCCCACATTTTCCTTTTTAAATGAGAAAGGTTTGTTTCACTCTGGGCCTCCTACAGTTCAGCCAGGGATCGATTTCTCCATGGTGGTGGGCCACAGGTCGGCCCTCAGGATCACGTTTGAGAGGGCCAGCCACCTTCACACCTGCCCGCTCTGCCCGGGACTCCAGGCAGAGTGAAGCCCCTGATCCCGCGTAGAAAATAAATCTGTGAGGTCTCTGCTCCTTTTCCTTCATTCCTACCACCCACCCCTCTCGGCACCCCGATGTCATCAGACCCTTTGGGGGGACCGAACCAGGACAGTGGAGATCTGTGTTTCTGCTCAGTCTCACTGAAGTCCAGTTGCTCACTCTAATCGAGATTCTCCTCAGAATCTGCATTCCCCCCTGTGGAATGGAATGAAGGTAGGAAGCAATTCTATTGACTTTCTTTGGTGTTGAACCCCTTCCGTGTGTGTCATGGTGGGCAAACTCCTGGGCAATGGAGGAAGAGGGGGGCTTTGGAAATATTAATAACCCAAGGCTCCTGACCCTGAGGTACATGCAGCTCAGTGGGGGAGATAGATGTGTACCCAGAGGAGACAGGGGGCAGCATAAATTAGAGCAGACGACATTACAACGGTAGGGAAATTTGGTTTTAGATCCCTCCTAGTGAATATTTATTTACGTAGTTGACTCTGTATTTTAAAAATTTAATCAAAAAAAATTTAATCAAAGTAATACCTTCACATAGTTTAGGAGCTGAGACAGCAGCACCAAGTTGCCAGCCAGGTGAGGGAGCCGTCTTGGAAGTGGATCCTCCAGCCCCAGTCAGGCCTTCAGGTGACTGTATCCTCTGCTGATACTGTGACTAAAGCCTTTCTGTAAGAGACCCTGAACTGCATCTGCCAAGCTAAGGAGAATTTCTGACCCACAGAAACTGTGTGAGGTAAGAAATGGTTATTGTTTGAAGCGGTTAAGTTTGGAGATAATTCATCACACGACAATGGAAAACTGATACATAGTGGTTGCTATTATTATTTTCTTGGGCTAGAACAAGGATGCCTTGCTCGTAGGCTGTGTATTATGAAATGGGCTAAGGACTCTCCGGACAAGTTACACAGCTTCATTTGAAATGATAAGTCTCACACCATTCCGAAGTATCCTTCAGAAGCCAGTGGTCTGAGGGAGGCGATGCCTGGGCTGACAGACCTGGTTCACAGATGACCTCAAGTGCTCAGGTGACAAACATCCAAACGAGAGTTATGGGGCTGTGGATCTAATGCAGTTCCTGCAGTTAGGAACTGACCGAGCACTTTCAGTAGAAAAAAACAGTCCCAGCTGCAGGTTCACTTGAGTCTGGCCCTTGTTTCCAGCGTGTGGAAGCTCGGCCCTTCCCATGAAAACATGGTAAAAACCTCTGCAGTATTTCCCAGCGAAATTGGCTTCCTTCCCTGCCACCAGGAGCTGGACAGAGCTGTGGGCACATGAGCAGCATTTCATCAGTTAATGTGAGCTCATGTCCAAGAAGTCCCCACCCCTCTCCCGTCTCGGTACCTGAGATTCTGGGAAATCTGCTTTATTTTCAGCCTCT